TCATTATTGGATGTGCTACATTATTGAAAGCAAGTGAATTTTTTTTAACAAGTGAATTTTTTTTGTTTTTTGAAATGAAAACAAAATTTGAATGTTTTCTCTTAAAAACAGGACAAGTCTTTGCGTGTTCGTTATATAGTTGCTAATCAATTGTATGAACTATGTGAAGGTGTGGGCCCTGAACCCACCAAGTATGTTCAATTTTCAAATCCAAAATAGTTTCTTTTCTTTTTATTTTTCTATTTTCTTTTTCTATTTTCATTTTTTAACATTTTCCATCTAAATTATAACAGGGGTGAGTTAGTTCCAGCATACGCTGAGGCTACTTTGTGTTAATGAAGCTGAAGTACGTATTGCAACTGCTGAAAAAGTCACCCAATTTTGTCGTATTCTTTCCCCACAACTTGCAATTCAACATATTATTTCATTTGTAAAGGTACAATCTTTAATAAAAAAACATGGTATCTTACATTTATATTTCTTGTTTTTTTTTCATTTTTTTTATTTTAATAAATATACAAAAACCAAGATAGGCCACCATTGCGAATGATCTGACTTGAGCTTATGATGGACACTACTTGTATAGTTGTAGCCAGGTAGGTACTTTATTGGATTATGAATACGTTTGAATGTTGTTTAATTTGTCAACTTACTACTTAATTTGTGTTTTATCTAACCAGTGGATGGTTATTGGGGAAGACTACATTGGACTCTTTGCAATAAGAGATATTAAGAAGGTATGCACATATTTTGCTGCATATTATTTGTTGTAATACACATATAAATGTAACTATAGTGCTATATCTTGCATGTAATGTCTACTGTATTCACATGTCATGGTATATTATATTCTTAAATTAAATTGTGATAATAACACAGTTCCTATTGGGTCAACAGAAAGACAAGTTTCCTTTGAAAGATGTTCATCAGAAAGTAAAATAGAGTAGCATATGGATGTTTCCTTTAATAAAGTGAATGATGTAATTTTAAAGCCATAATTGCGACCAGGAGTTGTGGTTGTCGATCGATTTCAGGTGATGTACTTCAGATACTTTTCCTACATATGGACCCAATATTATCCCTCCCCAGACTTAAAATGCTTTCAGTTAAGTTTCTAATTATCTACACATATAATCAGCATAAAGAATCTCTTATATTTTATGTAAGTTTAATTAAAATAAATAGTCCCTTGTTTTTTTTTAGGATACCATGAGAGATTCTACTTCAATCCAGGTGAAACTGGCTTCAAGGTCCGTTTTTTATACAATCATACCCATGTTTCATATTAAATCGGCACTTTGACTTTTCAATGTAAGGTTAAGGTAGTCATTTAGTCTTTTGATAATTTATATTTTATTGTGCAGGTGTTCCAAACCAAGTTTGCTAAGATAAGCATGGGTATGAATTTCTCAATCCTTTTACCTAATTGCTCTCCTCCCAACACGTTAAAATTAATGAATGTTTTGATTTTTTTTTGGCACTAACACTTGGATGATGCTTACTTTGACTTGCTGTTGGAGAGGGTAGTGGAGTGGGCTTGCTGTGTGCTGATTGTGTGTTTGATGGATGAATTGGTCCTGATTTGTGGTTGGATACTTAAGGTGATGAATGCCACAAATTATTCTCATTATTGTTTGTTTTTTTATGTTAGTGTTGCGATAACATATGTATTTAGCTTTCAAGGAGATGACTGCCTCATCTGTCGTGGGTCACGCTCCATATTACTGCTTGCAGCAGAAGCAGAAAACGGTGCTGATTTGTTTCTTTCTACTTAGTATTTCTTACTGGTTGTGAACAAGCCTCTCATCTCACATTTGAGTTTATAGGAATCAACAATCACTATGAAACTTCTAGTGTTTAGATTTCTTACTAGTTGTGAACATTTGTTTCTTCCCTTTCTACCATTCACTTGCAGGTTGATGATTTGTCAAGAATGTTCAGACTATTTTCCAAAAATACCCCATGGATTGGATCCTGTCTCTAGTATGTTTAAAAAGGTTTGTGATTTAGAATCTTTGGAGGAAACGAGACTCAAGTAAAAGTAAACACACAGAGAGTTGTTGGCACATAGTAAGCTAGATAATGCAATTGTATATAAATAAGCTCATTTTTTATAACATTTACTCACTATTGGAATAAATATTTGTATTTGAAATATTAGTGAAATGAATTATCTTTGTTATTTATGGTATTTTATTTTGTATTATGAGATTTTTAATGTATTATTTAATTTTTAAAATTAGTAAATCTATAAATAATTTTTTTTTTAAACATTTAAGATTATGATACGCAAAAATGTGTGTCATCTTCATTTATGACATGGCCTTTCTTGATAGGGGCTTTCTTGATGCGCATTGCATGTCATTAACACGCGCATCGTAAGGTTATGACACGCGAATGCGTGTCGTCTTCCTTTATGATAGGGCCTTCCTTGATACGCATTGCGTGTTGTAAACGCGCGTCGTAAATGAGCATCGTAAATGCGCGTCGTCTATAGACGACGCGCAAAAGTGCGTCATCTCTCTTTATGACAGGGCCTTCCTTGATGCGCATTTTCATGCCATCTGAGCCTTTTACGACATGCAATGAGTGTCGTAAAACGATGTTTTTCTAGTAGTGAACCTTTCAACTAAATGGGTAACAACTCCTCGTGGAATTTATTTCCATTCAAGCTGATGATGATGTTTTTAATGCAACTGCTAACAGGTATGAATTTACCACTGGCAACTTCTACAACTAGAGTATTATCTTTTTTATCTACATGCAATGGTAGTCTTCCGCCAAATTTATGCGATATAAAGGAGTAATTTCCTCCAAAATCAAACAATATATTGGCAGGCAATCCATTTACAAGAAAGGTACCTGAGCGACACCTACTTGATCTCATTCTGCTTCCAAGGTCATCTAGAATTCTCTTGCCTTTGGCCTTTGTGGAACATTAGGCCTTGCTATCTCTTTCTTCTTTATGCAATCCTTAGAAATATGACCTTCTTCATTTCATCCGTAACACACCCTCTTGTTGGATGTACACTTATTTACGTAATTCCCAGTTTTCCATATTTGAAACAAGTCACCTCCTCGCCACGTTTTCCAGAGTGTTGTTTTGTACTTCTTACAAAATTTTGTTTTACTTCCTCCTCCTCTAAACTTCTTAGAACCAAAATTTGATAATTTTCTTTTCTTGTTGGACCTGGAACATCCCTCAAACTTTCTCTTCTCGCCAACTTCAACCTTGTTGGCGGTTCTGTCTTTGATAATTTCTTCAACAGACTTAGCAACCCAGATAGCCACCTCAAGAGTAGCATCCGGGCGTACTGCCACAACGTACTCCTATGGCAGTCCCTTCGTATACTTATCTGTTTTTTCTATCTCATCAGGGACGATGCGCAAACCAAACTCCATCTTGTCTGTGAAGGCATTGGTGTACACCTCAATGGACATGTTGCCCTTTTTCAACGTCAAAAACTAGTTCTCTAGTTCTTGCAGGTTTTGGGCTTAGCAGAACTTTCGTTTAAAGTGTACCAAGAATTATGCCCATTTCAGTTGTAGTGGTTCATTGGAGCTTATGATCTTTCCCAGAGTGTTCCACCAATGAACAACATCACCCATAAACTAACCCACATCATAAGTGGTTTGTAGCTTACCCTTGCAAGCATATGTTATGAAAGAGAGCTCCATTTTAGAGATCCAGTCCATAACTCCGATTGGATCTTCTTTCCCAGTAAAATTTGATGGCTTTCAAGTCATCAGGTCTTTATATTTCCATACGTTCCTTTCGATTCCTTCATTCTGGTTATTTATTCTCACCACCAACGGTTCAGCTTGACTAACGGTTCTACTAGAATTCCCTTCTTCTGATTGTTCAATGTTCAGTTTAGGCTGTACAATAGGAACAATAGGTCCATCCCTATTATGTTGAAGTAGACACCTTCTCTCATCCATCTAACAATCCAACATCATTTGTGTCATTTTTTGTACTCCTGCCATCATGATTGGCTCGGGTGCAGCTGCTAACTCTAGTGTACGCTCAATCACTCGTGGCTCAGGCTGATGGTTTCCATTAGCATTTCCAAATCAGCTTCGAGTTATCATCATGTCGATCTATACAATAAAGTAGGCGAGTTTAGATCTTTATTTACGGTAGATGTTGAATCCTCTTTGTCACTCCGAAAAGTTACATGCTAGCACTAATATCGTAGTTAAACGTTTAGAAATTTGAACACATAAAGTTTTTAGATCTGGTCAGCAAAAGACCATAGATCCGATCAAGTAATAACATATACTACATATAAGGTATAAGTCTTTAGCACATAAAAGCAATTTAGGCATCTTTCCTAAAATAAGCTAATGCTCGTGTATATATATTTCCTAAATATAGTAGAAACTCATCTTGCCCGTGTATATATATTTCCTAAATATAGTAGAAACTCATCTCACACCCATCTCTTAGCATTCTAACTTTAAGTCTATAAATCCTACAAATTCCTAGTTAGCTTAAACTAATGTTATGATACCAACTGTGACACTAACAATTTCATGGCCAGAAAAAACCGATTTGTTTATGCTTTATTTAAAAATTAGAGTATCCTTTTAAAGAATAATATTGCGGAATTTCTTCCCAAAAATATGATAAGTATATTATCAAAAGATCTCCGAAGAAATGTGTTTTCATTATATTAAAAACGTTGGGATGCCATCGTCAAAACAATGCATAAGAATAAACAGAAATAATACAGGCCTTACAAACATCTATTATTCTAATGGCCTATAATACATAGATCTCTCATTTGATCATCACACTTGTGCTCTTTTTCCACTACCTGTAATACAATAAACTGAGTGGGTCAGGCTTATGAGCCTGGTGAGCACATAGGGTTTTCAACCCACAATAATTAAGATTTTTTTTTTATCAAATCATTTAACTTGTTTACCCGTTCCTTTTATCCTCACTTTTTGTCCCTAAAGCATCTAATTCAAGGGACCTAGCCTAAGGATTATCATCAGGAGGACAATACTGTTGGATAAGGTGTCTAAGTCCATAACTATTTCTGGTATGTACTTGACCCGACCCGGCATGGTCCATTTGGGTTGCATGGCACCATGCAATTGGATAGACTAAATGAGAGAAATAACGCTTGGAGATTATTAATATATTATAAGTTCTAATATATTAATAATATTATTTGATTAGTTTGATCAAGAATTAATTTAGAATTAATTAAGTGATCAAAAGATAACTAATTAAATATATGGGTTGATTAAGTAAATCATCCATATCTTGTATAGTGGGCTAAAAGGCTCCATGGATCATCAAGTTGGGTTCCACCCATAGGATGCTCCATGGATGCTCCATGGGAGTTACAAACCCATGGGTCATGGAAATGAAGAGTCATGACACATTAGGGTTTAACCCTAGATGTGTCAACACTATATAAGTAACATGATCTCCACCAAATCGGTTACACTAAAAAGAGGGCTTGGCCGATTTTTGTGAAGTGAGTATTCTCTCATAAGTTCTTCCAAGAGCATTTGGTGTTGTGTGAAGCATTTGAGGCATCACACTTGGGGTGCTAGGCTCACAAGGTTTCAAGGAACACAAGCAACAACAAGGTAAGTTATTCTATCTATACTTTATGTTAAAATTGTTCCCCATGTATGCTAGATAGGAATATAACCTTGGAATTCAACTTTGCATGACAAATTAGACAAACATAGATCCAAGGTTATTAGGGTTGCATGTACACTTAGGAAGTGTTAGAATGCTCAAAACCCATCAGTGGTATCAGAGCCTAGGCTTGTTTGTTCTTATTTGTGCTTAAAAGTTGAAAACAGAATCGAAAATTTGCTGTCTGCGAATGGACTCGTCGAGTCTATAGGGGGGACTCGTCGAGTCCATGTGTATCTTCAACCAACTCGGCGAGTCATGTTCATGCACTCGGCGAGTAGGGTCGAATGAGTGCAGAATTTCGATTCAGTTGCTGGAAAATGAATTAGAAACATTACCCTAAACTGTTTTAGTAAATGTAAACTTGTTTTTGGTGGTGTAATGTTTTGCTAATTCATTTACAACAACTAGTTATCAAAATTACAAAGTTTTATGTAATTTTTGATTATGTTCATATTCATGTTCTTGTTCTTATGATGTTTTAGATGATCATAGGAATTATTTGTAACCTATTTGGTAGTTTAATTCTTGATCATAATGTGTTTTAATGGAGTCCATAACTTATCCTTAAGTTATGGAAAACCAAGAGTCACACTTGAGTTAAAACCATTAAGAAAACACAAGAGTTATAAAAATGAAGAGTCTTCATTTTATGACTCTATTAAACTCATAAGTTACAAGAAATGAAAAGTTTTGAAAGTTACAAAACTTGCCCTCAAGTTTTGGAACAAGTAAAGTTAAGTTAAAACTTTAGTTCCAACCCCTAGAATTTTAAAAGTTAAAATTCAACCCTTATACTTATATTATGATAATTTAATAATTATATATATATGTATAAGAATAAAGTCGTCTTACCGCTAGTACGCCTCATTCACGAAGCCGGTCTATAAGGTGGGTATAAGGTTGTTGCCTATAAAATGGTGACTTAATGGGTGATATTCTCACCCACCGCTTGCTTGACTGGTGGAGGGTCGTTAGCCGAACGGGTAAGACAAGGACTTATAAATTCTCATTCAAAGTATGATGAATATATAAAGTAACTAAATGTTTATTAAATTCCCAATCTTAGTTACTTTAGGAAAAATGTGAATAAGGTGCTAATCCATGAAATTACACTTTACACTTTGTCTGAGTCGTTGGTGGAGCGTGTGTGGTTAACCGGCACACTAACTTGGACTTAACAAGGTAGGTAAAGGGTGACTTAAGGTTTATTATAGTATCGGTGGAGCGTGTGTGGTTTACCGGCACATCGATTGAGTGATAAACTTTAAGGGTACCAAGTGATTTGCATGGTTACTTCACACCTCGTTTTGTGATCCTCGGCATCCCAGTCACAAAACCTGGAGGGCACTCCCGAGATTGAAACATGCCTTTGAAAAGTTCATTGGATCTCAAAGAATCTAGGAATTTCTAAAACCAATAAAAACTAAATATTTAATAT